TTGGAGAGGGACGCCAGAGGCCCCTGCAGCGGGACTGGGACGTGCGTTTCAGATGCCGAGCGTGCGTTTCAGATGCCGAGCGCTCCGAGTGGGTGGTGGGGAACCTGCCCTGGGCAAGGGTCATAGTGAATCTCTCTCCACAGTCCCCTGCCTCAAGAGAGGAAAGGGTGGGGAATGAAGAGAGGGGGTGTGTGTTTCTTCAGCTTGAGCCCACCCCATCCCCCACCTGCGAGGAGGGGGCAAGGCTTGGGCACCTTCTTGGCCAAAGCCCAGTCCTGGGCCCCACGACGGATGTTGCTGCGCAGAAGGGCCTGGGTTGCTTTGTTCTGTGCGATCTTGTCCTTCACCCCCTGGATTTGGAGCGCCCGACATTGCTCTGTGGTAAAGGAGGGGACAGGGTGGCCAGGGTGTGGGCGGGGAGTCAAGAGAAGGGTATGGGAGAACACTGCTTCCCCAGCCATGCTCCCTCCTCCCACTCTTCTCTGGGAGGAACGGGCTCCACTCCTCTGCAGGGGTGATCTGCAGGGCTGTCAGTGAGAGTGTTGGAGAGGCCCAAACCACGAATGGGGCATCCTTACTCTCTTCCAAATATGCTACCCACAGAAGAGGCAGGCTCTTCCCGTCTCTTTGGTTCCGGTTGCTCTTAAGCTCACAAATCTCCTTTAGGTTCCCTCCTTCATACAGCCCCCTCTCATGGCAGACCCCTTAGATTCCCTTCTTCCAGCCTGAGTCTTGGGGATGGCGGTGGGGGTATAATTGGATGACCAATTGCTCCTCCATGTCCTGGTGTTAAAACTGAAGGTACTGGTCCAAGAACTAGGAACCAAGAACCCTTGGTCCCTGCAGGCCAAGTTTCAGCCAGCGCAGGGCTCACCTTGGAGCCGAGTGATGGTCCTTAGCTCCTGACTCTCCACATCTGCCTCATGCACTTTCATGATGGCTCTCAGGGTCCTTCGGGATCCCTGTACGCTGCCCACTCTCCCTGTGTTGTCTATTCAACAGAGCCAATGCTCAGATTGTCCCTGGAATTTCAGCCCATTGTGAGGGGGGTCAGGGTTCTCAATGCCCAGAGAATATGGAATCCCCTCCTCCAGCCAGCCTCAGAATCACCTGTGGACAATTGCCCTAATGGAAGAGTCTTGTGGTGGCTGCTCACTGCTTAGGAGCTCTGCTGTGTCCAGGAACCTGTTTCCTTGGTGGTGGTGGTGGATAATTTGTAACTGTCTGGCATAGCACCCCTTGCCTGCACCTCTGCACCTTCCATGTTCCCTCCCATGCCCCTAGGCTGCTTCTATAGTCTCTGGACTGTGTCTCCCAAACCTATTCTGATGTCTTTACCTTGCACCCATGTTCCAACTTCAAAGTCCATACCCTGGGTGACCTGGCTTACCACTCACTTCCCCATTTCTTCCACCTTCTCCTGATCTTTGCTGTGCTCCCTGGAGCCCAGCCAGTCGGCCCCCACCTCCCTCAGAACCCCTGGGCCTTTGTTCAGAAGTTACTTTCTCTAGGAGGGCCAGCTCCCTGCCCCTGACTCCTCCCTTTCCCCTAGAGTAGTGTGCAAGGAGAAATGAACAGCCTGGGATGCTGGGGGCCACACGAGATATAGGTACCTCTTCGCCAGCCTTGTTGGCATGGGTCTTTTATAACAAAGCACCACAGACTAGTGGCTTACACAAGTTTATTCTCAGTCCCTGAGGCTGAAGTCTAGGATCCAGGTGCCAAAGGCTGGTTTCCCTGAGGCCTGATTCCTTGGCTTACAGACACTGTCTTTTCCCTGGGCCCTCAGGGAGTTGTCTCTCTGTGCATGTTTGTGTCCTGATCTCCTCCTGTAAGAGCACACACCCATCACATTGGATTAGGCTCCCCATGACCTCATTTAACCTTTATGTACCTTGTTAAAGACTCTGTCTTAGTCACATCCCAAAGTACTAGGGGACACAGACCATAACATACACAACTTGGTATCTGGCGGAAACAAGCTTGCTAGCTCTCCATTCTCCCTTGGATACTGACTTCCTGAACTTCAGTGGGACATGTGCCTGGCCAGAGCAAGACTGCCTCCCTGGGTGTCCCTACCATAGATGCTCAATTCTGGCCAGTGGTGTGTAAGCAGAAACGGTAGGTGACCTGCTTTCCTTGTCCCCTTTCTTCCTCCTGCATAATGTGATAAAGAGACAATGCTGGAGCCCATGTGACCACCTGGCACCATGATGAGTGGTCATGGAGGGAGCAGGCTGAAAGGAGCCTTGTTCTTGACTAACCACCCTGGCCCACTACTGTGGTCTGAGCAGTTTATCCTCCAAAACTCATGCCAGAGTTTAATACTCCTTGTTAGGTATTAAAAAGCTGGAAACTTGGACTGTGGTGTTCAGAGGTGGGGGTCTCTGGGAAGGGGTTAAAGATTAGATAAGATCAGTAGGGTGGAGTCCTCCTGATAGAAGTCTGGTGGCCTTGCAGGAAGAGAGAAAGAACAGGAGACCCATATGCTGTTGCTCACCAGGGATGCGCTGGGCCTCCTCTGGACCTTGTCAGCAAAATGACCATCACCAGATATAGCCTCTCAAGCTTTGACCAGACTTGGGCCAAAATAAATCCCTTTTCTTTACATGTATGGTATATTATGGGCAACAGGAAACAGATTAAGGCACCCACCTGGACTTTTACAGGAAAGAAAATAAGGTTCTAGTTCTAGTTTGCCTAAGCCATTGTTATCTTGGGCCTGCGGCCATTCTGCCTTCCTTCTGAGACATCCTCAACAGACATTCTGAATGAGTGGCTCCAAGATGCCAGGGCAGAGCTGGCTGACCTAGCAGTGGGCCTTCTAGTACGGGGAGTGGAAGTCTGGACCATCTCTGCCTGTCTTTGTGGACTGTGATGAAGGCCATCTGGCCTTCAGCTTTCCTTTTCCATGGAGAGGAGGCCTCACCAATGGGTGAGTTTGGAATGACAGGGACCCCACATAAAGAAGCCTCAGAGCTAGGAGGAATCCGAATTCTGGGGTTCTGCATTAGGAACTTCCTTCCCACATCCTCGGCAGTAGCTGTATTGTCATAAAGATGACATCTGATCTTGGGCTGGGGTGGTGGCTCAGTGGCCTAGGGCACTGGGTTAGATTCTCAGCACCACATATAAATAAATGAATAAAATAAAGGTTCATCAACATCTAAAAAAAATTTTTAAAAGAAAGATGACACCTGATCTGTATTTTTTTCCCTTTGGTAGTACTAGGAATTGAACCCAGGGGTGCTTACCCACTGAGACTTTTTTTTTTTTCTTTTGACAGAGTCTCACTAAGTTGCCCAGATAGGCCATGAACTTGTAGATTCTGCTTCAGTTTCTCAAGTGATCTCATCTTTGCTCTACCACTGAACTATACCTCTTGCCCTTTTTTGTTTTTTAAAACAGAACCTCACAAAGTTGCTGAGGTTGGCCTTGAAGTTGCCATCCTCCTGCCTGAGTCTCCCAAGTAGCTGGGATTACAGGTGTAGACCACCGTGCCTGGCTGTTCTCATTTCCTTGCCCCTTTTATTCTCAGTTACTTTAGAGCTCTGGAGGGAAAAAGGACAAGCCATTTATTAGCCTCACACAGCCAGCACCAGTGGTCTCCCCAGACTTGTTGTGGGTGTAGGGGCTGGAAAGGGGACACCAAAGTACCCAGGATGCACAAGTCCCTTCCACCATGCAGGCTACCTTCTCCACTTGTGTGTGTGCAACAGGGCACAACCATTTCTGGCTCACAGTGTTTACCCTGTTTCTTGCGGCCCCACAGGAGAATGCCCATCCCCAGAGCCGGTCTGAACAGATGACCACTTGGGCAGGTCCTGGTTTGGGGGCAGCAACAGCAGAATGCACAGGTCTGTCAGGCTTGGACAGGCATGTGTGCAGAGGACACAGGATATACCTAGGTGAGGAAGCCTGTGTGAGGCAGGGAGGGCCAGGTTGGGGCTGGAGGTACAGTTGTGAACTGGGTGATGCTCTCTTAGCTGTGTGGATCTGTAAGAGGCAAAGGGAGATGGCTGGAACCACATGCACGGTCACTCAGGACCCTTGTTCCATTTCACCATAGCAAAAACTGAGTCCTGTAACCAGGATGGCAAGCCTAGGGTTCATCAGCTTGATATGGGATCAGGGTCTCCCAGTCTAGCTGCTCTTCTTGGGTACCCCACAGCCGCTGGGACCTGCCCACATGCCTCACTCTGCACCCTTCTGTCTCAAGGCCACACAATTCTCTGTCTTCCTCCTGTGAATGTAGCACTCAACTCTGCTGTACCCAATCCAGGACCAGCCCCTCGAGAATAGCAGGCCAAGGAAGCAGGAACTGAAGGGAAACCCCTTCCCAACCTATCACATGGGCCCCTGGTCTTGCCTCCCTAAAACTCTGGGGTCCTAGAACTTCAGCTGCTTCTTGCTGCCCCCCAGGCCCCCTCACCTGTGCCTCTGTCTCTGGGAAGTTGTCCTGTCTCCAGGAAGAGCCAGAGATTGCTGCATTTCTGAGACTCCACTCTTGTCACCCCATAGCTTGCCACAGAGCCTGCAACTGGAGAGCAGGAAGCAGGAGGGTGGTGGGCTGCGGGGCCTTAGCCTTTGCATTTTCAGAAGGGAAGGTGAGCACGGGGTATGTCTGGACAGACATGGTGGGTGAATTTGGACAGGGCTTCTATGCAAACTGGAGGCCCAGCCAGATGCAGGGGTGCTGGAACCATATTCTCAGCAGAAACCCATCCTTGCTTAAGACATAGTCACCTGTGCTATTCAGGGGCATTTCAGGTACATACTCTGGGATACCCACCCACAGCCATCAGCACGCTCCACTGCATCGGGTACGGGAACTTTCTCTGAATGAACATCTGCAGGCCGAAGGTCATGCCGGTGCCTGCCAAGAGCCAGGGTCCACCAATCAGCCAGTAGGCTGGGCTGGCTGGGGACCACCTGGGTGCCCCGAGTGCACCTGCTGGCAGGCGGCTTGGCGCCACCTGCTGGAGAGTCAGGGTGGGACAAGAGAGTGCGTTTTTTTTTTGACACCACAGGACACCTGGACCCAGCCTACCTGTGACAAAGGTGAACACGCCCTTCATGAAGGCGTTTGACTGGCACGCAGCATATTCCCCGAGTCCCTGGGAGACGGAAAGGAGTTCGAGGCTCAGTCCTCCCTCCCTCTTCTCTCACCGTCCCTCCAGTCCCTCCTCTGGGCAGGCCCTGGTCGTGGAGGGGTAAGACGCTGGGGACTGAACACGTCCCACCTTCCCTTAAGCCCACCAGGGACGCCCCAGGCCCAGGCAGGAGCGTGTCCCTTCGCCCCTCCTTCCTGCCGGGGCTCCCAGCCAGCCCCCCGTCCCGCTTAGGTCAGCTGCTGAGGCCCGGGGCCGCGCTGTAGGCCGGTCTTCTCACCGGGTGTTTGGCGGCCACGGCGTCGTCGACGCGGGACAGGCCAAGGGTCACCATGGTGGCCTGGTAGGAAGCGCCCGCCTGCAGAAGACGGCGAAGAGAGGCGGGGATGGGGGCGGGAACAGGGGCGGGAACAGGGGCGGGTGGGGCCCCAAAGCGCCGCCTGCGCAGGCGCAGCCACTTGCTTCGCGGACGGGAGCGAAGGTCGTGCTTCCAGTTTATAAAGCTGGGGACGTGCTTCAGAGCTCCCCCTCAAGGGTTGGAGTTCTTAAAAGCAACCACGAGTATGATTTGGAATTATAATCATATAATTATATAATTATAATTCCAAATTATAATTTGGAATAATTATTTAGCAAAGTACTTTCTACAATACTGCTTAAGCCCTTTCTTGGTGCCAATTCTGTTCTGAACCTGGGGTCCCACGGGGGACTTGGAGCCCCTGCCCTCAGAGTCTGGCTGACCCTTACTGGCCTCCGACCCAGGAGCATTGGAAGGCCCAGGCTTCGGGCACCCCTCAGGAGTCCCCAAAAGTGTGACCCAGCAGTGGGGGAGCAATAGATAGTGTGAGAAGAGGGAGGACCCACAGGCCTTGTGAAATGGAGCGGAGGAGGGTGGATGATGAGTTTCAGGGCAAATACGCTGGAGGAAGGACAGGAGAAAAGTTTAAAACAGGTAGAAGAGATGTAGAAGGAGGGATAGGGAAATGCAATTGCAGACTCAAGTTCCTAGACTTCCAGACCTACCCCTCTCCAAGCCAGTGTCTCTCCCAGACCTTCACCCCCAAAATTTCTGGGAAAGTTACTGTGAACTCACCCACTTATAAAATTTACTGTGTATACTGTTAATTAGCCCACCAATAAATAGATTTAAGTAAAGAGAGCTATGACATTTTAAGAAATCTGTAGGGGACTGAGATCATCTCCACACACCTTCCCATACCCACCTCTCACCAAGTTTCCTCTGAAGAAGAGCGAGGAACCTCCAGATCACGTCTCTCACAGGAGATGGCCACGTCCTCCCTGAGTGTGAGCTCCTGCTTTCCTCAGGAAGACTGTCCTCTACTGATGTGCTGCAGTTCTGCTCTATCATGTCTGCCAAGGTCTCAGCTGACCCTGAGTTGAGTGCCCCCTTTCTCCCAAGAACTCTTTGGGATCCTATCCTGGAGATCTCTCTTCTTCGGTGACAGGTTGGTCTGGCTTGCTGTGAAGTCCAGTTGGGTGGTGCAGCCAGGTGATTTTCTCCTGTTGGGCTCAAACAGTGTTGCCTGGATGGGTTTGGGTGGAGCTGGCTAGAATTTGCTAGGTGAGTATGCCTGGGTTTGAAGCTTAGTAAGTTGGTTCTGGTGCCTTCCAACAAGCTAAAGAGAGGAGGGAAGACAAGGGGGCATATAGTCAAGGGTCAGGAGCTTGGAGGCACCCCGTAGGATAGCATGTTGCTGGAGTGAGGACAGAAAAGCAGTGATTTGAAAGCCAGCAGGTGAGGTGAGGTGAGGTGAGGTGGCCAGGGCAGGAGGCTGGACCTGAGCAGAGGAGAGGTATGACCTACGGGCTGAGAAGGTAGGCATGCACCAGCCACTGTTGGTCCTGAGGGTTGGTGGGAGCATGAGCCAGTTGCTAAAGTCCAAATAGTGGGGAGTGGAGATGCCAAAAGCAAGAGGGTTGGCTCGGGGAGAGGATGTGTCCTCAGGGCTCTGCAGAAGGAGGAGGAAGGTTTAGAAGCAACCATAGAAGAACTGGGCCCTGGGTAGGATAGGGTGGGAGGAGCACACATGCTGAAGGCCACAGAAAACCTGGGCACAGATCCTGCTTGGCATCCATGGCACAGCCACAGAGATGTGGTGCTTTCAGTTCTGGTCTTCTGAGGCCTCTCTCCTTGGCTTGTAGATGGTGCCTTCTCCTCGGTCCTCATACAATCTTCTCTTTGTGCCCATCTGCTCTGTATATGAGGGTTTAAGGAATGTGCCTCAGGATTGGGGCTAGTTTCTATGGCTTAGCAGCATGTTTGATCTTTCGGGGCCTGGGGCGATAACCTAAGCAGCTTATCAGTGCCCGGAACATTCAGGGGCAAACTCAGGCTCAAGCCTGCAGGGAACGCATATAGCTGGCCCATCTAGGATGGGAATTGAATAGCCCACTCGAGCGATGCTACCCTTCCCAGAGCTTCCCAGAACACACCAGAGAAAATGATCTACCAGACAGCAGGTCCCTTTCTCAATAAAAAAATAAAAAATAAAATAAAAGGGGCTCAGGATGTAGCTCAGTGGTACACAGCCCCTGGGTTCAAAACAAAACAAAACAAAAACCAATAGCTTTGATTTATGAGAAATAGAAGGTCTGGTGCTCCATTTTCAAAATATAGTATTCAGCCTTATTTGGATCAAATTGTAGCCATTTTAATTGGAGTCCTTCCCACCCCAATTTAAAAATTAGCCAATCATGTAGATTGTACCCCTGAGTTCTCCAATCAGGGCGAAAGGTAGAGCTGCGTTAGGGATTTAAATCCGTAGACTGGTGCAAGTGGGCTTGCTAGCCAGGTCCCAGGAGCACCCCTTTCTGGCAGAAGTAAAGGTTTTCATTGCCTTGGCCACTTTTGAGCACGTGTTTGATTTCTTGCAGGACCTAGTTATTTCTAAGGATTGGAGGTGGGGATCTGAGCTTAGTGCCTCACTTTGATAGACTTACTTCTCCCTTTTAAAATTTCTTGTAAGGCTGGGGTTGTGGCTTAGTGATAGAGTGCTTGCCTCACATTTGTGAAGCCCTAGGTTTGATCCTCAGCACCGCATAAAAACAAATAAATTAAATAAAGCTATCGTGTCCATCTACAACTAAAAAAATATACATATATGTATTTTGTGTGTGGTGCTGGGGATTGAACCCAGGGCTTTGTGCACGCAAGGCAAGCAATCTACCAACTGAGCCATATGCACAGCCCTACAACTAAAAATATATATATTAAAAAAATTCCTTGTAGTTAAAGATGCTTTCTTTTGAGCCCAGCGAGGTAGCCCACACTTGTAATCTCAGTGACCTGAGAGCCTGAGGCAGGAGGTCACAAGTTCAGGGCCAGCCTCAGCAATTTAATGAGAACCTCAGCAACTTAGCAAGATCCTCTCTCAAATAATTAAAAGGGCTGGGGGTGTAGCTCAGTGTTAGAGTGCCCCTGGGTTCAATCCCCAGTATCAAATAATAATAAAAAATAATGATAAATTTAAAAGACTGATGGTTGCTTCTTAGTGAAAGTGATGCATATTCCATGTGACACCAAGAGCAATGCAGTTGATCCTAAACGTGAAACACACCTGCAAACCCAGCAGTGCTGGCGAGGGCTCAGACCTTGGGGCACAGGAGCTGCAGGGTGCACAGCAATATGCCCGTGGTTCTTGCACCTGCTCCTTCCCAGGGCTTGGGGGTGGGGGCTGGGCAATGCCCCATTGTCCTAGAAGAGCACGGACCACATCCAAAGTCCACCTAGACTCCCTCTATCTCTTTCTGGCCTCAGTGCCACTTACACACCCCAGGTCTGCAGTCTTCTCTCACTCCCTAGCTCCCGCTGCTGAGAACCACACAGCTCCAGGGCAGATGTTGGTCCTCAGCCAGAAGAGAAGTGACTTCCAATGTTCTAAGCTG